GAGATGTCGCGCTGGGAGCCCCATGACTGAAGCCGCCGCACTGCCTCAGCGACCGCCGGGCCCGAGCCACGGAGCGCATCCAGCCGTCTTCGGAAAAGAGGGCCGCAGGGGACCTCAGCACCCTCAGGGGCAGGGCCCCAATGGCCGCAAGGAACCCCCTCGAGAGCTGCCTGGGCATGCGGCATCCCCAGACAGGAAACACACAGGGCATGAGTGTCTCCAGCCGTGATGTAGCGCGGGCATGGAAAAACACACTGCCTGAACTGCTCACCAACTATCTCCTCTGCCAGACTTCCTTCCAGGTAAGAAAACTTTCTCTCGTGGTTGCTTTTTGAGTAGTCTCGAGCATGCCAGAGGGCCTGCTGAATAGAAAAAAGCTAATGTGTCCGGCGTGCCGCCGTGCTTATATACGCCTCCAGTTACGCCGTCACACGCTACCGTTTGTAGCAGACCTAAATTTTAGTCATGCAATTTAATAAATTTATGAGAATTGATACCCAATTATGAATTAATATTCATAAAATCAAAATTTTCCTCGTTTCAGGGCACCACCGGAGTTAATCCTAGAGTCTCCGGACCTCTAGGTAGTTTAATAATTATACAATTATTACTAGTGATCAGTTACTTAATAATCACTCAATTATCTTAAATCAGTCAGTCAGTCTCATATCTAAAGGGTCAATTCTCTTGGCAGGAACTAGAAATAGGCAACACACACAGCTCTTGATTATATTACAGTGAATTTATTCTCTAACTAAGGTGATAAAAAGATGGTTGGATACAGGGAACATAAACATTTGCTGAACAATGAGCCTGGAGATTCGATTGTGGGAAGCATTTGACTCATACGGCATAGAAGAGCTAATGAAAGTAAACTAATGCTATAATTTAACCAGCGGAAAACCAGCGGTATCGATGACCCGGGATAACGACCCCACTGAGGTTAAATAGCTGAGTTTCCCTGCCAGTCAGTCAGAACTGAAGAAGTCCTTTGGATGAGGGACGAAACGTCTTCCAGTATCTTCAACCAAGTCCAGTTGCCCTTGATTTTAACCTTCGTTGGATATAATTTAGGAGTTAAAATGGACATCTGATCACAGAACGTGTGTTAAGTCTTACTGCTTGTCGACAGCCTGCTTTTGGCCTGTTGCACAGGTCCCACGCTAGCTGCCCAATCCTGGCTTTTTGCTAGGGATTCTCCGGGGTTTTCCGTTTCTGATTGAAAACGCCTCCTCCGTCTGGCAATTCGGACGGAGCTAATTAAAGTAAACTAATGCTATAATTTAGGAGTTAAAATGGACATCTGATCACAGAACGTGTGTTAAGTCTTACTGCTTGTCGACAGCCTGCTTTTGGCCTGTTGCACGGGTCCCACGCTAGCTGCCCGATCCTGGCTTTTTGCTAGCGATTCTCCGGGATTTTCCGTTTCTGATTGAAAACGCCTCCTCCGTCTGGCAATTCGGTTGTTTTCGGGTTTCCTTCGTTGTAGCTGGCGAGACCACGTCTCCACCACGGCTTGGTCTGACCTCGGTGAAGTTGGCTCGACGAAAAAGGCTTAAAATGGAACTTGGTCGTTCCTGAATTAGTCCAGTGTAACTTAACGGACTCATAACTTTAACAAACAAAAGCTGGCCGACTGAGGGCGTTGCTGTGCGTGCCGAAGCATCCAGAGAGCCGAGCAGAGCGGAAGAGAGCCAACAGCGAAGAGCCGAGAGCGCGAGGTCGCGTGTCGCTCTTTTGTTGCCTGGGGCGTGGTTCCCCAGGGGGCGTCTCAGGATTCCCAAGGGACTGCCTTTCTAAACTTAATGTCTAAAAAGAAATCTATTTGCGCGTATTATAATCAAATATTTTCCACAATCGATCCTCAATGGTCGAACAGTTGTACTGTTCTAGGCATTTGGTAACCGGAAACAATTGTCACATTATTGGACAGGATATTTATACATTTAACGGCATTTCCAACGAGGGCATGTAATACTTATTTCGTCCACTTGGGGGAGCTCAGGTTACATGAGTATAGTAAAACATTCCTTTGTCCTCATTTCTAAAGGAATTTTGTAGGAAAGTATTAGGAACAAGCACTGATCACATTAGATGAAGGAGTGTCTTGCTGAAAATAAAAACACTGCACAAGTAATCCAACGAAGGTTAAAATGAAGGGCAACTGGACTTGGTTGAAGCTACTGGAAGACGTTTCGTCCCTTATCCAAAGGACTTCTTCAGTTCTGACTGACTGGCAGGGAAACTCAGCTATTTAACCTCAGTGGGGTCGTTATCTCGGGTCATCGATACCGCTGGTTCGTTAGTGTTCCTTGTTGCTGTGACGACAGTCGTTACAGTCGTTGAGACTGCCTGTGGCCAAGACTGAACGACCATCGTTGGTATCTTCACCTGAGGCCAATAGGTTACGTTTGTTGAGTTTCCTGGGAAGTGATGAAAGGACAGCATTGTAAGTGGGGGATAAGTGGTGGCGTAGACCCCCTCCCCTGTTCAATGACGGCTTCTCAACCCTGGTGTAGATGGCTTCCTTGACACCTCTTTCAAACCATCCATCTTCTCTGTCTAAAATGTGCACCTGGTGGTCCTCAAACGAGTGTCCTCTGTCCTTCAGATGTAAGTAGACAGCAGAGTCTTGACCTGAGGAGTTGGCCCTTCTGTGTTGAGCCATGCGTTTGTGTAGTGGTTGTTTAGTCTCCCCAATATACAGGTCTGTGCATTCCTCACTGCATTGGACCGCATACACTAGATTGCTTTTCTTGTGTTTGGATGTGCGGTCTTTGGGGTGTACCAGCATCTGTCTTAGTGTGTTCTTGGGTTTAAAAAAAACACAGGGATGTTATGTTTGTTAAAAATCCTCCTGAGTTCCTCTGATACTCCAGACACGTATGGAATCACAATGTTGTTGCGTTTGACCTTCTTTTCCTCCTCCCCTGTAGTTTTGTTCTTCTTGGATTTTGTGGCTGTCTTCACAAAAGCCCATGAGTCTTTGGAGACTGCAGTCCTTTGTCATCCAAAGTTTGGCTGTCCTGGATTGTGTCACACCTAGGTGAGACAAGGAGTATCCCTTTGATGTGGTAATAAAACAAAGAATAAGGTCAGTTGCCACGGAAACATGTGTGGGGGGCCAGTTTTGATAGGCTGTTCAGGGAAATGCCAATGGCTGGTTCGTGTCCCTTTGTCAGTTTAACAGTCAGGCCCCGCGTTATCAGCTTCGGAATCAAAATGGTGCCAGTTTTATGGTCGGGATAGCACTTAGAGAAAGCAACTTTGACCCCTCCCCTTCTTCTCTGGGGAGGAGAAAGGAATTTAGAGTAGCTCCAGATTTATTCAGTATAAAATGCACAAATCCACACCGTTGTTCACTACACGTTCTAGCAACGCCAATAGGATTAGAGTAGTTTCATTCATGAATTCAGCCCTGCCACGCCCAGAGGCGTTCCCATAGTGTCGTCACCGACGCAGTTCGAGTTCCCTCGAAGGGGAACTGTCCCTTGGCTTGGCTTATGATTTAACAGATAGATGAGTGGTATCAAGTTTCTCATGTAACCCTTGGCAAGAAAGGGAATAAGTGAATTCCCAAAATGTCTAACTATCTATTCCTTTAACTTATCCATATGTTAAGTAAGCAGGTAAGATTCTTCGACAAGACACATATTTGTGCTTCTTTGTCTCCATCTCTAGAAAAAAAACATGGGATGTATGACTGACAAGACAGAAAAACAGAAAGGGAATATATGGCTCATGAAGAAGGGCACAGAACAAGAGGGTGCAGACGGTAAAAGAGGACAAAGCAAAGCAGAGCGAGCACTGAAAATACTTTCAAGGCTGCTTCTACTAGCATTGAGTGAGGTGTCCTTGCATCTTAAAAATGCTTTTAGATGAAGCTGGAAGAAATGAAAGAAGCAACTGCTGGACCTAATTAGAGTGAGTCACAGCTGTCTGCACAGCAGAGAGGATGAAACAACCACTTATTCTCCCACCTTAAGCTGTTTGAGTTTGCAGTACTGCTTAGCCTACCACAGAGCGACTGAGCTGTACTGTATTTGCACAGTCTTAGTGGTTGTTTTAACGTATTTGCACTGTCAGATAGATTGGGCAGGACAATTATTGTATATATTTTGGATCACCCATTCCAAGCTACAGACTGATTCAAGGACAACTTAGGGTATTACAATTTTGTTGAGTTTTTATATACAGTCTGTGGTTACACCAATAATTCGATTCTTTGGTCTGCAAGCATGCCGACTCCTTATTTTTACAAGCACAGCCAATCACATAATCACATCTTATTATCTCTCTCTTGTGCTTCAGATTCAAAACTTATCTCAAACATATCGCATCTTTTAACTGAAACCCACTATAAATCACTGGTGTTTATTATATACAACAAAAGGATTATGTTGTATTAACTGTGAATTCAAACTCATTGTAAAAATGACTTGTAACAAAGCCTATTCAATACAGTTAATTTAATAAACCTCATTATATTATAAAAGTTTATAACTATTAAAAACATTACTAATATATATATATATATATATATATATATATACACACAGTATATAAGATCCCCCTCTCACCCCTTGTGGGGTAGTATGTGTCATCCTCAAGCTCAGGTCCTCTACCAGAGGCCTGGGAGTTTGAGTGTTCTGCACAGTATCTTAGCTGTTCCTAGGACTGCACTCTTCTGGACAGAGGCCTCTGATGTTTTACCTGGAATCTGCTGCAGCCATTCTCCCAGTTTGGGGGTCACAGCCCCCAGTGCTTCGATTACCACTGGCACCACTGTTGCTCTTACTTTCCACATATTTATATTATATATATATACACACACATACAGTACAGGGCAAAAGTTTGGACACACCTTCTCATTCAATGCGTTTTCTTTATTTTCATGACTATTTACATTGTAGATTCTCACTGAAGGCATCAAAACTATGAATGAAAACATGTGGAATTATGTACTTAACAAAAAAGTGTGAAATAACTGAAAACATGTCTTATATAATAGTTTCTTCAAAGAAGCCACCTTTTGCTCTGATTACTGCTTTGCACACTCTTGGCATTCTCTTGATGAGCTTCAAGAGGTAGTCACCTGAAATGGTTTTCCAACAGTCTTGAAGGAGTTCCCAGAGATGCTTAGCACTTGTTGACCCTTTTGCCTTCACTCTGCGGTCCAGCTCACCCCAAACCAACTCAATTGGGTTCAGGTCCGGTGACTGTGGAGACCAGGTCATCTGGCGCAGCACTCCATCACTCTCCTTCTTGGTCAAATAGCCCTTACACAGCCTGGAGGTGTGTTTGGGGTCATTGTCCTGTTGTAAAATAAATGATGGTCCAACTAAACGCAAACCGGATGGGATGGCATGTTGCAGGATGCTGTGGCAGCCATGCTGGTTCAGTATGCCTTCAATTTTGAATAAATCCCCAACAGTGTCACCAGCAAAGCACTCCCACACCATCACACCTCCTCCTCCATGCTTCACGGTGGGAACCAGGCATGTAGAATCCATTCGTTCACCTTTTCTGCGTCACACAAAGACACAGCGGTTGGAATCAAAGATCTCAAATTTGGACTCATCAGACCAAAGCACAGATTTCCACTGGTCTAATGTCCATTCCTTGTGTTTCTTGGTCCAAACAAATCTCTTCTGCTTGTTGCCTCTCCTTAGCAGTGGTTTCCTAGCAGCTACTTGACCATGAAGGCCTGATTCGCGCAGTCTCCTCTTAACAGTTGTTCTAGAGATGTGTCTGCTGCTAGAACTCTGTGTGGCATTCAGCTGGTCTCTAATCTGAGCTGCTATTAACCTGCGATTTCTGAGGCTGGTGACTCGGATGAACTTATCCTCAGCAGCAGAGGTGACTCTTGGTCTTCCTTTCCTGGGGCGGTCCTCATGTGAGCCAGTTTCATTGTAGCGCTTGATAGTTTTTGCGACTGCACTTGGGGACACATTCAAAGTTTAGCAATTTTCCGGACTGACTGACTGGCCACTCATTTCCCTTTACTTAGCTGATTGGTTCTTGCCATAATATGATTTCTAACAGTTGTCCAATAGGGCTGTCGGCTGTGTATCAACCTGACTTCTGCACAACACAACTGATGGTCCCAACCCCATTAATAAGGGAAAAAATTCCACAAATTAACCCTGACAAGGCACACCTGTGAAGTGAAAACCATTTCAGGTGACTAAGTCATTAAGCTCATTGAGAGAATGCCAAGGGTTTGCAGCGCTATCAAAAAAGCAAAGGGTGGCTACTTTCAGGAATCTAAAATACAAGACATGTTTTCAGTTATTTCACACTTTTTTGTTAAGTACACAATTCCATATGTGTTCATTCATAGTTTTGATGCCTTCAGTGAGAATCTACAATGTAAATAGTCATGAAAATAAAGAAAACGCATTGAATGAGAAGGTGTGTCCAAACTTTTGGCCTGTACTGTATATATATATATATATATATAAAACAAAACTAACTGTGATGGAAAAATCATCACTTATTTATGTTGTTTACTTTGAGATGAATGATTCAGCTACTGATTCGGAAAACTGAACACAGATACTTGTGGTGAGTTCAAGGCTAGAAAAAGTAACTGAGATGACACAATCGCGATGTAAACAACTTCACAAACTGTTCATAAACAACTTGAAACTCCGGAGTGTTTGAATGGTCTCCTGAAGGACACTTTAACCACTGGATCCTTGACAGACTGTGGCAGCTCTTTTCTATTCCTGGAACGAGCGCAATTACACTGATGGACAAATGAGGGAAAAATGGAAGGAAAGAAAGGACTATTTGTTCTGCCTGGAAATTAAAGTTGGAGTGGAAAAAACAGTTTGTGTGGTGGTTGATATAAAGTATTAGCACTGACGGACCAGAAATACTTCACTGACCATAGACGCTACAGAATTAGAACCTACAGGAGTCTTCCATTGTGTAGGAAGGGAAAGTAGAGGGGATAGAAATGTCAATCTCTTTGCATTTCCGTCCATTTTTTAATGAGTAGGAAGCTTACATTTGAAAAAGGAATTACACACCCACCTGTCTTGGTGTACATATGTGTACAGTTTAAAAAGGGGCCTTTTGCAAACATGGAAAAAGAAATGAGCTGTGCCATTCAATTAAACTCACACCTCCACCTCCGGCGCTAATCATAGCCACTTTAGATAGACAAACACAAAGATAGTTGAAGGGTTAGATTGTATATGAGCATCTATTTGGCCCAGAGATCCATATCATTTGCATAATTATGAACAGTAGATATGGTTGTCATGGGAAACAGACTGGTGATATGTGAGAGAAGTGGAGAGTGCTGCGATGCTGAGCAACATCAGCAATGAACGATGTATTTTAGCAGAGGTGGGAAAATCCTCTTTAATCTTGGCTAAATGATCCAAATAAATTGTAATTTACATCCAAAAATCAAGTTGTGAATTTGTTAACTGTCATCACATTTCTTAATATGTTTAGATTTCAATAAACATCAGCCGTGTAGTTGATTAAAGCTGAATGGTGTTGGATGTGCGGGGTTTATGAGTTAAGTAAATGAATCGCCAATCTTTCACTGACATGCTATGCCAGCGCTTGCGATGTGGACTAAACAACGGACAATATAAGCTGTCTGAACCTAATCTGACCAAATGGCAGAGGAAACACAAAAAGTAAACAGCTGAAATCCACTCAACATAACTCAGCCTACCCTCAAGCCAAAAAACCTGCTCCTGATTACAGCAGGAAGCACACCAAGTCATAATGTACTAAAGAAAGTACTGAAAGCCTGCCACCAAATACCATGACTTTATTGTACAAGCTGTGAATTTTCATCATGATTTAATATGTTAGAGCACCACAAATTACATGCTGAAAACCTAAAAGAAAACAATCTGGTGGCTAGAATAATGAATAATAATTAATTAATTAAAATGTCTTCAGATTTTCTGTTAAACCAAGGCAGGGTATCCCTTAATGACTCTACTTAAACAACTAGCTGTTAGAAAATTAATTACTGGCCAAATCTAAGCAATCACAAATCTGAACAAGAGGGCAACATAGCCAAAGAGACATGAAAAGCTTCCCAGGTCCAGTTCTTGAAACCCATGTGTTATGTTGTTAATTGGGGTTAAGTGTAGTGTGAAGGCCTGCACATTTACTTTGGCTCATGGGTGTCCTTACAAAATATGAGCAAAATGTGGCAGCCATGCATGTTAAAGGCCCAACATGCAGTGTATTAAATCATGAACAACTAACAGTACGTATGAAAATAACATTTTAAGTAATCCATTGTTGGTATAGTTTTTTTTCGTTGACAGCGCTACAGGACTGCTCCGAATGACGCTGGACACTGTTGCTCCTTTGAGAAAGAAACTGATTAAACACAGAAGACTAGCTCCATGGTACAACAGTCAAACACGCAAGTTAAAGAGAGCATCATGGAAACTTGAGAAGAAATGGCGTCTTACACATCAAGAAGATTCTCATTCAATGTGGCAGGATAGTTTGAAAATGTATAGGAAGGCCCTCCGCAGCGCCAGAGAAGCCTATTACTCGAAGTTAATAGAGGAAAATAAGAACAATCCCAGGTTCCTCTTCAACACTGTAGCCAGATTGACGGGAAGCCACAGCTCTAATGAACAAGGTGTCCCTCTTGACCTCAGTAGTGACATTTTTATGAAACATTTTAACGACCAAATTTTAGTTATTAGAAATAAAATTCAGCATCTCCTGCTTTCAAAGGATGCCGACCTGCCCTTAGTCTCCTCGGAAGCACGTTTAAAGCTCAATGGATATTTGGACTGTTTTGCTACAATCAGCCTTCACCAACTTACTTCAGTTGTGTCCTCGTCCAAACCAACGACCTGCCTCACAGTCCCCATCCCAACCAAACTGCTCAAAGAGGTTTTGCCATCATTTACATTTACATTTACTCATTTGGCAGACACTTTTATCCAAAGCAACTTACATTTGAGGAACAACATACAAGCATCAACAGATCATCAAATACAGATCTACAACTGACAATACATACTAGTAAGAGCTCATAGTACATATCACATCAATGGGGTAAATACCTAGGGAAGGAAGTAAGAGTTAACAAAAAGTGCAATCAAAACAAAAAAGTGCAATCAATACAAGATCATTGTAGGGGATAGAAGAAGAAGAAGAGCACAGGACGTGCATGTTAGAGGTTAGGAGTTAGAGGTGTTATAAGAGAAAGTGTTCTCAGAAGAGATGAGTTTTCAAGAGCTTCTTGAAGTTAGAGAGGGACGCCCCTGTTCTGATGGCGTTTGGTAGCTCATTCCACCATCGTGGTGTCACAGATGAGAATAGCGGGGACTGGGATTGCTTTGTGTGAAGGGATGGTAGAGCCAGGCGGCATTTGTTGGAGGAGCGTAGCGGTCGAGAAGGAACGTAAGTTTGTATTATGGAGTTTAGGTAGATGGGTGCAGACCCAGTAGTCACTCTGTATGCAAGCATTAGTGACTTGAATTTGATTCTGGAGGCCACGGGGAGCCAGTGGAGTTCACTGAGTAATGGAGTGACATGAGTCTTTTTGGGCTGATCAAAAACCAGACGTGCTGCTGCGTTCTGAACCATTTGTAAGGGTTTCACTGCACATCAGTTGGCACTTCTTTGTTAAATATTATCAACCTCTCCTAGCGTAGCTAACCAACCAGTTAGCTAGGCTTCAAATGTGCATCAAGGATGTGAAGACCTGGATGTATTAGAATTTCTTGACGTTGAACTCTGAGAAAACTGAGGTTGTAGTACTTGGACCCAAATTCCTCCGAGACACATTGTCTGCAGACATAGTTAAGTTGGATGGCATTGCCTTGGCCTCCAGCACCACAGTGAGGAATTTGGGAGTTATTTTTGAGATATCAAGACCTGTATTTTAACGCACACATATAGCAATCTACAAGGACTACCTATTTTCACCTTCGGAACATTGTGAAAATTTGAAACCTTCTGCATCGAGATGATGCAGAGAAACTTGTCCACGCATTTGTTACCTCAATGCTTGACTACCGTAACTCCCGTGCTTTCAGGCTGCTCAAAAAAATCTCTTAAGTCTCTCCAGTTAATACAAAACACCGCTGCATGCATACTGACAAGAACCAGTACGAGAGATCATATCACCCCTGTTTTAGTAACTTTGCACTGGCTCCCGGTAAAATTGAGAATTGATTTTAAAATACTTCTTCTTACATACAAAGCCCTTAATGGTCAGGCATCATCCTATACCATACTGTCCCACTAGAACACTGCGCTCCCAAAATGCAGGGCTACTTGTAGTGCCTAAGGTCTCCAAATGTAGAATAGGAGCCAGAGCCTTTAGCCATCAGGCATCTCAGCTGTGGAATCAGACCCCTGTCTGGGTTTGGGAAGCAACCAACATTTCCATATGAGTAGGCTAAAAACATTTGTTTTTAGTAAAGCTTTTAGCTAGGGGTGATTTTTCTGTATTTTGTAAGAAGGTTTATAGTTTGGGCTAAGGTATTTTATGAATTTTTATACATTTTAATTGTCTATTTTATGTTATTGTATTTATTATTTATTGTTTTTTAATGTGTGTTTCTTATGTGTTTCTTTTGTGTCTCTGGAAAGTGTACTGGGACCACACAGCTGGTGATTTCACACTTTAAATAAATTTGATTTGATTTGATTTTGCCCAATCCCTGAGGATTACTGCTGTGTTCGGCGGTCCCTTGACCTTTCCAGAGTGTCACCATGTGGTTGACATTTTTGGGTTTTAGTGGGATGTCTGAACATCTACTGAATGCATTGGCACAAAATGTTTAGCAAACATTCACGGTCCAGGAATGGTTATTCAACATTGATGATCCCTTGACTTTTCCTCTAGCACCATCTTCAGTACTTTGTTTTATGACCTGCAAAACTACTAACATTCCCATCAGCCTCAGCTGTACGTTGTTTTTAGTGCTAATAATGAT